TCTCTCTCTCTCTCTCTCTCTCTCTCTCTCTCTCTCTCTCTCTCTCTCTCTCTCTCTCTCTCTCTCTCTCTCTCTCACTCTCTCTCTCACTGCTCTATCCTGCGGTATATAAAATCTACAGCGCGTCGTACGTGCTTAAATCTTAAACGTTAAGGAGAACCCGATATCCGGCTGGGATGTCGGACCGGCGCTGAGCCCAAGTTCGCCGCTTGATTCTCTGGTTTTCTTTTTTTGTATTTTTTTGTCTTTTTCTTTTTTTCAAAGTTTTCAGACGCGTTTCGTCAGACGAGCACCCTGTATAGCGTATGATTGACATTTGTCTTTTTGGGAGAGAGATATTCGGACCTCGCCCGTGTCCTCGGGACGAGCCTGCATTTTATCCTACTTTCGTCAGTCGCGCGGGGGATTATCATCCGTCCCGTCGTCGTCGTCGAGGATGACGCGCGCAGGATCTTCGTCGCGACGACTAATGTCGCTCGCTGCGCTGCGGTACAAAAGATTTGTCGGTCTCTCTCGTACCACGGTGATGGTCAGGGCTGTTCTTGTCCGGGCACGGCGATCCCACCTCGCCGAGGGTCCTCGTCGAGGATCGATCAGACCGGGTGTACGGCAAAGTGTTCTCTACCGTGGCGTCTTTTCCGCGCTGTGCGTCGAACTGACAACGAACACGACGAGACTCCTAGGGGCGTTTTGTCGACGGGATACCTCGCGATAGCTATTGTCGGTTTGATGCTGGACAATCGTCGCGGCGCGATGTCGTGACTCGTCGCGCGTGTAACTGTAACGGTGTCGTCGCCGTGTACATCCGGACGACGGTGATCGGTAGTTCGATACTTCCAGTATTTCCGGCAGGTCTCTCCGGGATGATCGGATCCTCGAAATATTCGCGACAGGCGCCGCCGCACGCTCGTGCGTCCATTCTGCTTGAACGCAATCTTTCACCTGGCAGTTGGGGACCAGAGGCTAGAATCGCGGAGGACAGAAAGAAACATGCAGATTTGTAGTGAGAATGGACGAAAAGGGGACAGAGCAAATGCCGTTGTTGCCTGCCGGCGGATTCCGGTTATCCGAACATCTGGGAAACGTCGTCTCAGCGCGCGTCTCGTCCTCTTCTCTCTTCGGCTCTTCTTCTCTGGGTTCAGCGCACAACATCCTCCATCGCTTTCGCTTCAGCCTCTTCGCCGTCGCCGCACGGACTCCAACAACGCTGGAGCCGTTTGCTGTCCTACTGACTTCTAAATTTTTACCCTCTAATGAATTAACTAGCTAGTATACTAAGTTGTTACGGCGGAGAGCGTTGTAACGGTGATTCAACTCGTCACTCCTGATCGTCGAGCGTCCATCGAGTTCACGTTCTCGGACGACATCTGCAATTCAGAGCGACGATATCATCATTTTTGGGGATTTCGAATCAAGTCACTTGTCACACCCTCAGAAAGAATCTACATTTTGTAACATTGATGCACAATATGGCAATGTTGTAATGGAACGTTTCTGAGATGTTGATTCAACAACATTTGTGTGCTGTATGGGCATTGAATCCGGAAATTTTTTCTGTGGGTGCACGTTTGTGTAACTTAACAGCAACCGCTTCAAGATTTACAAATACGATTAAGTTCACGCATCAATGCTAAAATATATATTAAAATTAATATAATCGTCGTCGCGACTAAAAGAACAGCGTCCAACAGCTCGCACAAACGCGAGAAAGGAAACTTACTCTGTAAGTTACGACATAGGGCGCGACTCGTCCAGATTTTCTAGGCTAGGACGTGGGTTAGTATGGCCGGCTGGCGTCCTTGGGCCTCTTCAATTGGACTTTTAATCGTTTCATCCCTATTTGGAAGCCGTTCATCGCTTGGATCGCTGTTTGCGCGCTCGCTGGATTATCGAACGACACGAAACCTGAAAATACCGAACGTTGAATCCTGCAGTGCGTAATAGATTTGCCGTCCCTTATGAAAATCTTCTCTCGACATCACGTTAAAGTACAATCTTCGTTTATTAATGCACATAATCGCAAGGGAACGTGTGAAATATTCAGACGAGGCGAAGAGGCGTTCGTTATCAAGAAATACAGTACAATAAATATAATATGACAAAACGGCAAATCAATTGCGTCGTAACAACATCTATAATTACACGGGAAAATATACTATTTATATGCGACGAAGAAAAGGACAGTGCTTATTTTGAAATAATTACTACATTCTGTCAACTATTTGGGAATTCAAGACGAGCAGATCTTCCACGGGGAATAAAGTTCCTCGCGGGTTGGATATTACTCATTAAGTTGTAACGCCAGAAGGGCAAGTGCGCGATAACGAAGACCCTCGGAGATCCGGAACAGTCCCGAAAGATCATCACGACTTTCTCGGTTTAAGCCAATTTTGACCATTAGCGTCGATTCCATCTTAGTTTCGACATCGCGATGGTCTAAACCGCCGGAGCGTCCCTTCGTCTCCCGGCCGTCTACGGTTCTTTGTTCCGCAAATCACTTTTATTTTAGGGCCGAAGGACACCCTGATTATTTTAACTCCCCCTCGCGTCCCAAGAGGAGAAGGTTTATTGCGCGGAAGAGACGAGCTGTATCGAGTTTTCGCATTGCGCGATACGTTTCAAAAGGACTCATACAGGAGAGAAATTTTGCCCAATCACGGTGGTTATAATTATACCGCGCGAATCCTCGGCGGAAACTGTTGCGTCAAAGAGTCCTTTCGTTAAATTGATCGCGGCGAGGAAAATGCCTTCAAAGGGACACAAACTTGCGCATATTTTTTCCTCGCTACGGGCATAATTATGACGCGTCGCCGAGAGCCCGCCTTCTTTTTTGAGGGGGGAGGGAACGTCGAGTCTCTGAAACAGGAGGAGACAGAATGCACGGGCGCAAATATATGAATCGCACGTGGACGAATGCGAAGGTAGACCGGGGACCGAATAAACGCGAATGGAATCGTCCAATTATCTGTATCCTCGTACTCTTGGATACGATTAATCAAAGAAACGCCAGTGGCTTTTGTACGCATTCTCTGTTTCGGTCCTCTCTCCGCGCAGTCCCTGAAAAAGAACTGCGCAGTTTGATTCCAGTCCCATTGAAACGGCATTCATATTCAGTCTGCCGGGTCCGTCCGCTAATACGGACGAGACGAATTAAATTTCCATGATTAATCCGCCACTCTCCGATTGGAAACGCGTAGAGTCATTTAGAGCACTGTGGCGCATGTGACCGATCGAAAGTCATAATATTATAATAATCACAGGCGTATCCGTGTACGTCGCGATTACGTTTTTACGTCCAAATGCGGATTTATATACGTACGGTTCAAAGTAAAAAATATATTGAAATATTTTTGCGAGAACGATACGCGTACGCGCACATACGCACGGGCCCTTTTAACATTAGCTTTGGCCGTAGCTTTTCCAACGCGAACAAAATCGCATAATTGTGCAGTATAAAAATGAGAAATATAAAATTTTCGAATGCGTGTCCGCTCCCACGCCGTCGTTGGACATCGAAACGTCGACGTCCCTCGTCCTACCTGGGCCCCAAGGATCCGATCGTACGTCAGGGATGAGACGGTACCTTTCGTCGTCGCCAGCCGCTCTGAAATTCGTCCGTAGTTACCGTCGCACTTACCAAAGCATTTACTCTGGTTGGTCGCCCGGTCGATGAAGACTTTGGAGGAGATGACGTTGCCAAACGGGAGGAACATCTGCATGAGCTCGCCGTCACCGAACTCCTGGGGCAGGTGGTAGATGAACAGGTTGCAGCCCTCGGGTCCTGAGATAGAGCATCCTACCATATAAATCAGAGCACATCTAAACATCTAAACTTGAAGTATAATACTCAAGTTAGAATGTTAGTTCTGGATGAGTTTTGTCCTTCGCAAATATAAATGATTCCACGCGACACGAGAGCTTCAACCCGTTAGCGAGGTCGCCAGCGGGCACTGCTTTTCTTTCCGATTACTTTTTTGCTCTCGTCTGGAGTCATCTTTCTTTTTCTCTGATGAATGAAGATGAATCTGCGGTCGACTCTCTTGACGATAATTTTCTCTCGTCCGGCCGAGTGCGAAATGATGATGACATACAACATGATTTTGTCTCCCGCGAATGATGCGAAATGACGTGAGCATGAATCAAGCGAGAAGTTAAACGGACTGCGAGTGAATGGCAGAAAATGACATGAAAATGATCGAGTATTAAGAGCGATCAGAAAAAAACAGTCACGAGCATTGTTTCGCTCGTGACTATCGATAGAAATCTCCCGGTTCAAATAACGTTGAGTATTTATACTTTCAAATATACACACACAACACTGGGATTTACAACACAATGACGGATGAGGTGATGGATGCTGCAATGAGTGAATGGGTATGGACGGTGGTGACGATGATAGTTATGACACTAATTACGATGGTGCGGTACTCCCGTATTCTCGCCAGACACGATAATCCGTCGCTATATCGTTTTCTACATGAGCGTTCTCTAAGTGATACAAGTGCGCTTGCCGTTACCCTGTGCGAAAATCCTCTCTCACGCACACATCTCTTCTTATTCACATTGCGTCGCGCCGATTATAAGTGAGATTAATGCGGTACAAATGATAATGATATACGAACGCAATGTAATTGTACCAAAAAGATCGCGATCCAGTTCTAAAATTACATTGGTAATTTTGCACCCTGTACTTCTCCACGTCTTGTTCGTGCTTAAATTTTTGCGCAATCGATCGTTCCGTCCTACAACACGGTCGCTTAAGTGGGTCTCTTTTTTGACTTCCGGTGTTAAAACGCCAAAGACACCGAGAGGTTTAATTTAGGCCGGCGAAGAAAGTCCCGAGGGTAGAAGCGAAGAGGGAGGGTAGACTACCCGAACAACGGCAGTCCAAATAAGGATTTAGCTAATTTCACTGAACTTTATAACTCCGACGTCAATTAGCGGCGATTATGACCGTGGAAACTTCTGCTCTCTTGGCCAGAGCTTCTCCCGACTAACGGACGCATTTAAGTAATGAGATGGCTGCCACTCAACTTTCAGGGTGCTACTCATCGCGACCTGTTCGCCTCTACCCGAGAGATCTTTTGCGGAAAGATTCCCCCCGGGAACCCATCGGAGTACGCTGGTCGAATCATCGAGCGGGGCGTAATTGTCCATTTTCAGTCCGATTACGATTTCCGGTATGTCGCTGCCCGACGATAACACCGCATGACTCGCTCAACATATTTGCCGGTCGATAAGATTATCATCGCGAATCCCGGCAAAGTTTAAGAATTAATGCGACATAGACAAAATTTTACGGCGGTTTTACGAGGATATTTTCATCCGATTCGGAGGTGATTTTCGTCGATTGTCCGAGGGCAAAACTTTAATTGCAGTTGTCGAAAATAGCGCATCACGATCAGCGCTCGCCAAAGTTTGTTTCGAGTCGCAAAACTTGATTCTGAGATTCAAAGGGATAAAACTTTCCTATCCTCGAGCATTGCTCTACATGCTTTTCCAGATAGATGTCGTGTAATTCATACCGCGCAAAATTTGCAAAGTAATTCGTCCGCGGATCGGAAAGTTCTTTACCGCCGTTCAGTTTCATGCGAAAGAGTCATGTCCCGCGAGCGAGTCGCCGATTTAATTCGAAACTTTTCCGTCAATTATGAATTAATGTTGTCGGGTACTTAGTGCCTCGAGAAATCACAAACCTGTCCTGCGGTTTACGCAAAGAGCGACAAACTCTCCCTCTCTTACGCGAAACGACTTCGTCCTGGTAATAACTCGATCGTGGCTGTCACGCGAAACCCAAATTAGCACGAGTGTCGACGGGTTTCCGGTTCCGACTAGGGCGAGCACGGAGAGGAATTGCGGTGGACGACGAAATCACGAAGAACGAGCCATAAATTAAAGCCCGACGTCGTGCCGCGCGCGCGATCGTTGATCCTGAAATTGGTTTTCGCCTCTCTAATTGGCACACACGCGGTACGTGCACGCGAATTTAATGAGAACGACTACCTTGTCTACTTCTATGTCTACTTCCGTCGAAGAGTAATAGCGGAACGCTGCGCGAAACACCAAGGCATCTAAATCCTCCCATACCGTTTACACAATCGGTTGTTGAATATTTGACGACACATCATTTTTTTATCATTGAAACATCACGTAACTTTGCGTACATATTTTTGAGAATTTTATACGCAGAGGAATAATTCCTTCGGTATACTTTTATTTAACATGAATTTGACTTTTCCGATTAGCAAAAGCCGAACTATGTCTCTCGCTCGCGTGACCTACACTCTCGCAAGTGACAGTGTTGCCGATCGCGAAACGGATTCGATTTCTGGTACGGACCACGAAATCCCGCAGTGCACGTATCACCGTCTCGTAGCGAAGCAACAACCAACATCGGTCGACAGCGCAACACCGAGAACAGCCACTGACATCGAGTGCAACGGCGAAACACCGAATTAACGACGAACATCCGAGATACGCTGACGTAAAGGAAGAGAAAAAAAAGAAAGATAAAAGAAAGAAGAGGAGAGCTATCCGCACAACGTTAAAAATATTATGACACACAGTCATGGTCAGAGAGAAGAAATGTATATACGAACACCGAAAAACATCGTGTAAGACGTAGAACACCCAGAACAACGATCAAGGAGCTTAAAGTAACACGGAGCAAGGGTAAACTCGCGAAGCGACAGTCAATAATAGATCGATACCACTGTCATGCAATGATGACAATAACGTCGATTCCCCTTCAGCTCCCCTGGGTTCCGTCCGATATTGCGGCACGCCTAACGACTTTGACATCTAACATAAGTTTCTCCAAAAGATAAAGTGTCTGCACACATACGTTTCCTTTATTTTTACAAAACTTGTATCTAACACAAAAGTTTCCGGGAAGTCGGCAATATGATAAACGTCTCTTCTTATAAAATAAAATAAAAACAGCTTTGGGAACTATTTGTGTTCTTGACAATGTATTTTACACTTACACACAGAGAAAGATGAAAACAGATACGAGACATTTGTCAGTTCAACTACATAGATTGTTGAAATTCAAAGAGTGAACATATGCGAGACGTACACACAGCTATACAATGTAATTCTTCGATAAGAAAAATTCGAAAACAATTGAGAGATCCCTCGTATAATTTGACAAGAAGCGAATCGTTTGTGCGATCAGTGTTATCTCATCTGGTGAAGTACCGGAAAGTGGAGCTGCTAACAATTTTCTTTATCCAAGGGGAAGGGGGTGAGAGAAATGCGCTGATAAATTCGCCGTCACGCGCGGAAAAGTGAATTCGAGATTTCTCTCACTCGTCTCGTGTTACCGCTTACGATTTAATCGCGACGCATGGGAAAACGTCAGAACGCATCGATGGGACGAAAAGATCAGACGGAATGAAAGCGGGATGAGACGAGCGAGGGGGCGGCGGACGTGGCGGTCGGAGCAGAGGGTTGAGGCCGGATAAAACGGAGGCGGGGTAGCGCTGTCGCGGTAAACTTTCCATTATCCTGCGATGTAACAACGGATCGCCGGCGGGCGTAGCGGCAAAGTAATTAAAACTTTCGTTTTATTTGCATTATCTCATTGCGAGGCGTCGTATATTCTAATAATGGCGAGTTGTTAATTGCAATTAGGCGCTGGCTCGCTCAACCCTCTTCTAACCCCGGACTCGCCTGGTCGACTTTTTCCTCGCCTTCGGCTCTCCTTCTGTACCTTTCCGCAAAAGATGCGCCAAGTGACTAAGTCCGTACCGATTATACGTTCGATAGGCGAGAGACTCGCTGTCTCTCCGATCGACCGCGTTCCTCTATTTCGGACCGGTGGTTTTTAATTAGTCGCAACTTCGTGCGATTACGAGACGACTGACGTTATCGAATTCAAACGGCCGTCTTCGAGACAATGACTACCTCTCAATGAAATGGCAGACAGAATTTCAGCATTGTTCCCGATAAAATCGTTATCGTTACTAAAAATGGGAAAAACGGAACACAAGGCGTTTTCTGGATCGATTGTACCCCGGCATCTTCCCGCTTCTTCTCGCAATTCGCGACACTTATTTTGCGAGATGTGCAATTATACGCGTCGGCAGCGGCGTCGAGGAGGAGTCGAGGCTCCGTCTTGCACCTCGTTGGGCGCCGACGATGGATAATTCGTGTCTGGACGTGTGTACGGGACGTGGGTCTACAATCTCAGGTCTACAGACGTTCGTGTATACAGTCAACAGTTAGACGTTGATGAGCGTGTTGTACTTACCTTCCCTCTGCGTGGGTGCCACCGCGGTCATCGGCTGAGGAATAGCCTGAGGAAACTGGCCGTAGACGGCGGGGTAAGCTGCGACAATAACAAATAACAAGTACATCATGATCTGTCCACACCTAGATCTGTGCGTGCCATCCGTTCCCCCATCTCGCAACCCTCCCCCTTTTCCCTCTCATTTTTTTTTCGTCCCTTTCCTAGTCGGTACTGCGATCCGCTGTCGGCCGTCGACGATAAGAGCCAGCGACAGCGCGAAACCGGCGGCGACCGCCGAACGAATATAGGCGTCGTAATTCAATGCAGCGATAGCGCATACATAATGGACGATGACAGTAATAAAAGCCGAACAGTCCAATAAACGTCAACAGATTCAACAGAAATTGCGCTGCCATCGCTAGACAGATTACAACGGCGTAATTTATGACCGTGCGTTTCAGAAGCGTCGGCAAAACGTAAATCGGACGCGACCATTTATCCTTGCGATTTGCCGAAGATCCGTCGAGGATTGGGGGAGAAAGGTCAAAGCGTCAATATTAAGGGGATATTAAACGTAAAGAACGCGGGATAGGGGGGGGGCGATATTTCCACGTCATTCTGTGGACCACGAGACGCAATTCGAGAATTATTTCGAGTTATCTCGGTCTCGATATCAATGACGGGTTCTATTCGCCTCGGAACGAGCCTCTCGAAAGTCGAGCCCTATGGGCTCGAATTTAGGTAACGTTTACCCAAATTAAAACTTGTTATCTTTTCAAAAATATTAGTTCTACGAGCTCGGCTCGTCAAGGCGAGTGTTCGAAGCAGAAATGCCGATGGATATAACACAAATGCTGATCTTCCCGGCAGAATTTTCTCTGCGGAGCTGTTATTTCTGGGAGATCCCGCATAATCTCATCGTTAACGCGCAGTATGGAGATCGCGCTTCTAGCCGAGTGGCCTGTTTGCCCTGTCGGTGTAAAAGCGGAGCGAGAACCGACTCGCTGATACGAAAAGCTCGTGCAGGCGATCCCGGGCAGCATTCATCACACGGCGTTTCTGCCCCGACAAGGATATTCGTCTCTCAACGTTCTCATCGTACCGCGCGACTTTCAACACGATACTTTTGTGCGCGAAACCATCGCGCAGCCCGCGAAAACGCAGCGTTGCATCCGGCGCGTCATTAGCCGACACCAGATATCTCTTCAAAGCCGATTCTTGAAACGACGTGCCTCGTTAAGGGGATGATGGCGTGATTCCCGCACCTTTTGCACTTTTTGCATCTAGAACTGTCAATTCGCGTGGACATTTGTGTAACGTACAAATTATGTGGCTTTTGTGAACCGACAGTGTTCCACTATTCAGACTACATCAGAGAACAGCGTGGTATCATGGAAATTTCGTTTAGAAGCCTAACACAAAATCTATTCACTCGAACAAGCTATAGGTTATAGGTCATGTATTCGAGCAAATAGATATTTTGTTAGGCTTCTAAACTAAATTTCCATGATACCACGCGGTTCTTTGATTTAGTCTGAATAGTGGAACACTGTCGGTCTGTTCGCAAAAGTCACATAATTTCTATATTACACAAATGTTTTCTTGAACTGACAGTTCTAAGAGCAAAAGGTGCAAAAAGTGCAGAATCACTCTAGCATCCCCAGCGCGACGACATACACGCACCGGCATAAATGCTGTCCCTATCCTTGTGCAGGTGCACGCACACAACTAGAGTCCCTGTAGTTGTGTGCGTGCACCTCACAAGGATAGGGACAGCATTTATGCCGGTGCGTGTACAGCGGCAAAAGTTCGCGCGCGACTGTACCGCGCGGAATATCCCGTTGTAATTTGCGAAATTAAATATTTAAGCAATCGAGAAAGGAACGTCCCGAGACAAACAGCGTTAAAACGGAAGACCTCGCCGAGAGGGCGTACGATTCGTACGCGGAATGAGGCTCTGAAATTGGAGAGACATTATTGTAATAGCGTTTGCTCTCGATATCGCGTTACAACGAATCGACGGGGGCTCTCATTATAACGAGCCTTTTGTTACGGCGAAACTTTATAACGTCTCGTATATTAATGTTGACGCGCCAAAACATTTCACGATCGTTCGACGTAACGAGATTCTAAGATGACAGAATTTTATTTCAAAGTTTGATCAAACTCCCGCCGTAATGCGATATCTCGCGGAATTGAACGGGGGAGGGGGGGGGAGGAGGAGGAGGAGGAGGAGGAGGAGGAAAAAAAACCGGCCGTGGAATGAATAGGTATCGATATCACTTCTGATCAACGGGAATTGAAACGCGAAATATTTCGCATTAAACGGAAGTGCCCGTTGTATTTTAATTCGCGATGCGCTCGCACGTATACGCGCTCGATGACAATTGGTTAGTCTGTAAATTTGGATCTCGCCTATACGCGCGCGGGGCTCCCCGCTCGCTACGCGCGACGAGGCAGAAAGCAAGTACGTCGTTATTAATTATAGCTTGATAAATATTTAAAATGCTCGTGATTGATACCTGTTTGTGACGGATAGGCGGAGCGTGCGCGCGAGTTACGCGCTCTCAGATCGGCAGAGGCGAATTTTCGCCCCGGAATTAATTATTTCCGTGCAAACATCGCTTTAATATATTCCGATTGACGTTACCCGAGGCCCCCGCCCCCGTCCCCGCCCCCGGTGCGCGATGGATCAACGTTTGGCGTATGAAATAAATACGCCATCATACGTCGGGGCCGCGTCACGCTCAGATAGAGGTATACGCCGTTATTCCGGGATTGCTTTTTTTCCACTCGCTGATCTCGATGGCGTATGTGTACACTGGCCGAAAATACATAGAAAAAAATATACCGCTTTTGAGTCCTCGGTAAATACGAACGGCGGCGCTCTCGGGGGCGCGCGCGAGCAGTGCGTTTGTTATGACTCGAATTTGTTGAGTTTCCGCGGATACGATGGAGAGGCATGTTGAGTGAGACGCCAGGGGAGGGGGGAGTCGGTCGGTGACACCGGGCGAGAATAAGTTGACAGCATCCCCTTTCTTCCCCCGTTGCTCTCCGGCGGCCGCCGTTACCGCGCGCCGCATCCGACGAGCGAAATCAAAAGCTAAGACTCCGTAAACGCGTTGAACTGCGGCAACGCGCGCGGCAACGAATCAAAAGACTTCCGTTTCAACGCAGGAAGCTCGCGGCAAGCTACTGATTGGTCGACTCGCATTGCCGCACGCGTTGCCGCAGCTCAACGCATCTGTGGAGTATTAAGGCCGAATCAGACTAGCAATTGCCGACTCGGATTGGATTGGGATTCGCAATTGACGATTGTCCAGTCTAGCCAATGAGAGTCGATTAAATCGCTGGCTGCTTCGCTCTCATTGTCTAGAAGACAATCGCCAATCGCCAATCCCAATCCAATTGGTAGTCTGATTCGGTCTTTAGCTAAACGGTATCCGGAGTGGCGTGAGCGCGGAATTTGTCGAACGCCCTCCCCGGTCGCCGGGGAGCGATCGGAATGTAATAGAAGTATAGGCCCATCGAGACGTTGATTATCCGTGAAACGAGATCATCCGTTCCGCCGGGCTTTATATCGGATCATAATTCGCGCGGATGCGCGGCGCACTTTGACGCGCCGCAACACGTCGACGGTCGACGGCGAGATAATTCGCCGCTGGTGCTGGCGAGGGGGGGGGTGTACATGCACGGGGTAGGGATACGTGTAGAAACGTGTAAAACTAACTAATATAATATGTACACGAAGTACACATTTAGAAGGACATCGAAGTACAACGTAGCACCACAGCAGAAGCATTATAGAATACGAAACGTTGACGGCGTACACGATCATGTGTGACGTGTACATGTACGGTGTGTATACGCATGCGGCCCATAGTTGCATGCAAACAACCAGCAACGCGATCAGCGAAATCGAATTTTTTTTCCGCAGGTAAGTGCTCCGACGCGACGCCCGGATAAAAGCGCGCCGACGTTGGACGCTCTTCTCCGATGCACTTTTTTCACTCTACGGACGCGTCTCGCGGAGCCGCACGCGCGCACGCGAGCACCTTCTCCCGACCCGCTCGAGATCGCGATAGGCAACATCCGGGCGAGACGAGGGCGCCAAGTGCGTCATCTGCCGCGCGGTGAAAACCGATGCCGCGAATTACGCCGCGATATTGGGAAACTACGGAGCGGCGCGGCGCGCGGAAGTGCACGCGCGTTCGTGCGTTTAATTTTAAATATAAACGGTGAGAAAGAGAGAATTTGCGATCTGCCGTTGCAATTCCGTTCGCGCAATAATCTGCGATCGATCGATATAAAATGATGACGGGGACAATCACCGTTTACGCAAAACTATTCGCTCGATTCGGAGCAAATTCTATGGCGGATGAACGAGGCGGACAGGCGTATTCGTCTCACGTCGCGTCTACTTTCGCATCGATAATACCCGCGAGTCTGCTTGGGGGTGGAGCTGGATGGACGAAACGCTCTACAGAGTCGCTGCACGGAAGACACGGACAGGGTAGACAGCATCTTGACAAGCCGTAGAGGTAAAAATTGAAGCTGGGGAAACACTTACCGGCCACTCCAGCATAAGCCTGCATTCCAGGATACGCGGCGGCATGCTGAAGTGCCGCCTCCCCGTTGGCCAACCCCTGCGCTGGAATGGACAGATGGAGGGCATCTACACTTCAGTAAGCTCAGCTCTTATCAGGGAGAGGGGCCTAGCCTAGAGGCCCCTGTCGCAATATCCACTAGGCCAATCGATACCGCTCGATATTTCCCGCCGACTATATACCCGACCAGTAATGACCGCCCGCCGGGCGATAAAGGACGAAGATTAATGAAGGATTGACTATAAGAATGATTACACGCCGCCATGTCGCGAGAGACTCGTCGCTCCCGTCGTATGCAAAGTCCCGATTTTAATGACGACTTTTTTTCATCTATCAAACGTTATGCCCCTCATTTTCATCAATGTTCGGACCGTTGTATTTGTAGCGTCAATTTTCGAATGTGAATGTACGAAAAGGGAGGCGATCTCGATACGTTTATACATTTACTTGTTCGAGGTTCAAGTTAAGTCGCTCAAATGCAAGGGTGGGAAGTAACGCGTTACTTGCTCTCTAAAAGTTAGTGCGTTACCACTGAAAACAGTTATAAGTACAGCACTGAATTATTTAGTGCCGCACTTACAACTGAATCAGTAATGTTCACTGTTTTCAGTGATAACCCACTGACTGACTTTTAGAGAGTGTAACGTCGTTACCGTCACAATTACTATTTTTCTAACGAATGGCTAACGACGTTACATTTTCTCATTTGTTACGTTCATGGTAACGCAGTTACATTTTGTCGGGAACAATAACGATTTTAGTAATTACTTTCATCGTTACTTTCGCACGTGAACTTTTCACTAGTTGCATCCAGAAAGCAGATCAGTGATCTTTAATACGACAGGTTCTTCGTCTTGCAGTTGTTGGCTGACTAAAAAATGTGGAAACCAATTATAGTACAAGTTATATATGTGTTCAATACATACCTAATATAGTTACAAAATAATATTTAAAGTTAGATCGTATATGTCGAATTTGGAGCCTAGAGGATATAATTTTACTTATACCTTCTGTTTACCGCAGGCACTTGCGTTTAATTGTACAAATGTCAAGAAAAAAGTAACGAGAATAGCAACGACTCGTTGGATTTTGTGTAACGGTAACGAGTTACTTTTACAAAGTAATCCTCCCAACCGTGCATAAATGTAAATCTCTCGCGCTCAGCGCACCGGCGCTGGATCTGCCGCGTGTGGACCTCGGTGTCGACGTTAATTCCGGCTCTTCCCTCGCGAATAAACGCCGGCGAATGTCGGCGCGGTGCTTCCTCGGGCAAGGCTTGGGCAAGTATGACGCGGCGAGTACCGCCCGGCCTGGTACTTGGCATGGTACTTGGCCTGCGCGAAGTTATTTACATCCCCGCGGAATAATAAAGTCCGCCGCCGATTGGCCGGGTATTGCGCAGGGGCGGCGCGCTGCGCCTGAGTTGATACTCACGTCCCGCATAAGTCTGCGGTATTCCGTTGGTGTAGACACCTGGATCCGAGCCTGCCGGCTGGCCGTTCGGCGTTTGAGCGGCCATGTTAAAATTGGGCATCGTCGGCGACGGTAACGACGGTAGTGCCCCGTTAACCGGTTGCCCTGTGCCGGTACCTACGAGCAAACCTGATCAGTACACTCCGGTTACCCTCTTGCACTTGCAACACCAACCACGATTATCCTTCATACGCGAGGCATCTAATCGGGACGCGGGCAATCTCTAATAGCGAATTCGATCGCTTGCACTGGTGCGCACTGAGTGCACACTAAGGCCTGTTTATAGTCAATTTTTATACTTAACTTTGTCTTAAATACGCGTTCAAAGGGTATTTAGCCAAAAAATAATCCGCATGGGTGCTATAGATCATTTTACTGGCTACGAAATTTTCCAAAAGATATTTAAGACGATCTTTAAATATAAGAATTGCCTGTAAACAAGCCTTAGTGTGCGTTCAGTGAGCACTAGTGCAAGCGACCGAACTCGCTATAATTCCCTCTCCCCTTTACCTCCATTTCTTATCGCGTCTCCTCTGCGATAGAACGCGACGTAACTGCTCGCTCGTCGGGGAAGGTCGTTAACGAACCCTCGCGCAACATTTGAAGGTTCGACTCGATGGACTCGCTCCAATCGATTTGATAACCAAAGAGCTAAATAATTTTGTCAAGTAAATAGGAAACGCATCAATGTACGGCCGGACTGGATCTCTCTGGTGCCCGATAATATTTTCTCGCGTGAGTTTACGTACGCGTTTCAAAAAAATAATTTAATACAATTCAACTTTTCTTTCTCTTTCCGCTATGGCGCGAGTCTCGCGATACAACACCACCATGTTCTTGAATTACGATTCTGGCTTACGCGAAAAGGTCGTGTTTATCGATAATGGTTTGCCTTCCGTCTGTGTCAACGCTGCGATTCGGATCAGCGATCAAAGCCTTACGTTGCGCTAATAACGCATTGATCGCGCCGGTGACCAGCGTTTGGTGTCACGTCAATATGACTCGGCGTAGGTAATGAGACATAATTATGTTTGGGCAACATCTGCTATACATATATTTCTATCGAGTTAACACGCGACTACGGGGCAGTCAAGGGCACACGATAACATCGTCGCGCGTTTGTGATTTAGTCGAGCGTGACTTTTTGAAATCGCAAGCACGATTCCCAACGATCTCCCATTCGACGCGGGGACGAGTTCAGGGGGACGCAGCCCCTGAAGAGACGTCGGCAGATAAAGAGAAGCGAGCGCCGGCACTTTAATACCCTTCGAATCGGGTCTACGGCTGCGAAAAGTGGAAAGATCGGGACGGAGGAGAATCTCGATGCCTCGATAACACCCGGATTACGTTGCGCGCTCTCGCATCGTTGCCGGTTACGTGCATCGGGTATGACGATACGTCGTAAACTTAAACTCCCGTGACTGCACGATATACGTCCCGGCGTTGTCGATTCGGTTAGGCGGGTCAAGCGGTTTCTATACAGGGTGAGAGAGACTTGCGGCAACCGATGCTGCAAAGTACAATCCAAGGGGGTAACCACTTAAGGGGAGGCTGGAGTGATTCTGCACTTTTGGCACCTTTTGCTCCTAGAACTGTCAATTCGTGAAAACATTTGTGTAATATACAAATTATGTGGCTCTTATGTACAGACCGACAGTGTCCCATTATTCAGATTAAGTGAAAGAACCGCATGGTATCATTGAAATTAAGTTTAGGAGCTTAATAAGAAATCTATTTACTCAAATAAGTTATAGGTTACCTAACCTATAACTTATTCGAGTGACTAGATATTTTGTTAGGCTTCTAAATTCTAAAACCTAACCGAATACTACAATCTTAATTGAAATTACATCTACAAGCAAATACTTATCAGTGAAATCAAAAAGATATAATGTTTTGAGGAAATCTAACAGCTTTTAACAACGTCGCCTATTTTTAAACGTGTATATAAGAAAATGATTTGCAATCAGATGAAATCATATGGAATCAATCTAATGAAATCGTGTAATCGGTGGGGCAACATTTTAGCTAGTGGTTACCCCCTTGGTACAATCGCGCGATCAAGGTTTCTTTGTTGAACCTGATACGATGTGAATTCCGTAAAACTCCAACGAAGTTGTGTCTCAAGCCGATTCCCGAACGGTTTGTCAAAGTATTTACTTGTAACCGAAGTAACTTTGTTTCGAGGTCGATGTTGTTAAAGGGTGCGACGTCTATTTCGCTCCGAAATGCACGCAATTACGTAGGATTACAGTTACCGGAACGACTTCCGAGCACGCGGGTCTACCCGCCAGTGCCACCCTGTATACACGCAGTTTGCGGTTACGCCGTCGTTTCGTTGAAAATAAAAGCTCGCTGCTACGGTAATCTTCAGCGCGGAGTAAAGCGGACGGACGCGGGGGAGTTTGGCGGAGAAATAAAATATTATTTCCCTATCAAACGGTATTACCTTCCGCTCGACGAGACCCGACGTATAACGGAGCCGATTTCCGCGCTTACTTTACTTCTCCGCACAGCACTTGGACCTCTCCGTTGTTTCTTGTATCGCCACGCCGGGAGGGAAGAAGGGAGGTGCGAGCGAACAAGAGCGAGGAAGAGACGTTTCTTTGGCTTCTTCCCCAGCAACGAGCTTTCGATAAAGTTTCGCGGTGCCGGCAATATCTCTCGCTCGAGTCACGTTCGATGAAAATGTTGTATTGATTTACGAGTCGGTTGTAAGGCAACCGACTGCGCGCCTCGGCTGTCGCGAGAATCCAGGGAAATTATGGAGAAGCAGACCGCAGGGAGAAAGGGCGATCGGATGGGAGATATGTTTTATATCGCTGAAATCGGACGGCCATCGAATCGATGGCGGATAATTCGTGTGCCCTCGAGTATTTCTTTCCTTCTCGCGAAAATGCACGTTTCATCGGATTGGTGCTGTTAGCTGATTAGCTCGGAATTGATTAACCTAAATTGGAAAAAATGTTTTTTCACGTAATCCTCGTAAATTGTCATTAAGATATTTGCGACGGACGTCCTTTGCAAGATTATCAAAGCGCGTATATATAATATTTTTGTTATCGCTTAATATTTTGCATTAACTTAACCGAATAAACATTTCTTGATTAACAAGAGAATATTGCAAAGTCCACACAAACGCCTAGGCGTATAGAAAAACAAAGAGCGCCACGTAATAGAGCAATGTATATGTAATGTGAAATATATTCGCGAGAGAGAGAGGGACGTAGTTTATAACAACGTTCGCACGTACGTAGGCGCAAAAGTTTAAGATGCAAAAGTTTCGAGACAAGTTTGGAATTCGAACGTTATTCTCAGAGACCGTAAATGTATCTCGGATACGACAAATGAGTTCTTCTCTCGCGAATATTAGCGTGTCGTGTTCAGCATTTTGATTTTTTTTTAGCCGGCTACGGGCTTACCGGAGGTGGGTGGGACCACGGGATTTGGCATGCCGTTCAATGTATGCGGTAATTGTCCAGCTGCCAACGCGGTCATTGGATTGATGTACGCTCCCTGTGTAGTCGCGGCTGCCATGAGCGCTGCTTGCTGCTACAATATAAAGAGAATATTATTGTCGGAAAAACGTTCTCCCTTGGATCACGCTGTAATTTTTTGGTTACTTTGAAACGAACAACAATTACTTTGTAAATGCGAATCCCATGCAGCACACAAATATTGAATCAACATCTCAAAAACATTCCATTGCAAGATTGCATCAATGTTACGAGATGTAGATTCAACGTTGAAAAGATATCGCAAAGACGTCTAATGTCCGCTGAATTGTAATGTATTGTAAACGTTACAATTCAACATTCAGAAAACATTGTTAAATTATATTGAGTTATAACACTGGTCGCGTTTAGCAGAATATTTTTTACGACCGTTGGAAGTGCTGAATAACTCTATTCCACTAAAAAAAAAATTCTGACCGTTGCAAAAATATTTTATATAAATATTTTTTTTAAGTGTCTATTTGAGTGTCAAAAAATAATAATTTGTTGAAGATTGTTTTAACGTTGCAGTAATATAAAGAATTAATGTACAAACATTAATCTAGATTCAACGTAGAAAAGATATTTATATTTCAACATTCAACATTGCGACGTTTCAGCAACATTATTTTAACTTTCTGTGCTGCATAGGAATAGTCTTGAGGAACAATCGCGTAATCGGAGCTATCCTTTCCGTTGCGACAAATTTTTGTCTCGATTAAAGGAATACTGTATCTGAAATATCAGTAGATGAACATTTACATTATATTATATGCGTATAGATCATAAATACATATAATAATGTAAAACTGACGTTTGCTTTCGTACTGGTCGCGAACCTGGGAAAAATGAAAACGCGAGGGGTGATTGTGAGGGATCTCTTTGCATGCCAGTGTTAACGCGACGGCATCGAGTTTCAGCCGATCGTTTCCGAGAGTAACGAGGGACGAACCATCGCAGATTGTGAGTCGTGGTAACGAGGACAACAAGGCGGTAATGCGGTAACGCGAGAGCCATTAACGGTAACACGACCCACCTGAGCGTAAGCGTTGTAAGCGCCGAAATGATTGAAGAAGGGGTTAAGGATGCTCATGTTCCCGGCCATTTGCTGCATGCGTCTTATCTGTCTCTCTTTATCAGTGTCTGCGAATTTTACCACTATGCTGGATGACGCACCCTGCAACAGATAACGTAAATTGTTAATTTCTCAATCGCATAACGCCGAGATTTTTACAGTGCGACGCAATTTTACGATGTACTTTTCCGACCACTTCCCGTGCTATTACTTACGGTATGTGTTACGACTAGCGTACGAAGAAACTTGTAATTAGATTTTTATGAGTAAACGAATAATCGGAGGTTTTAGTACTGCTATATTTTGTAATACACGGTATAATATAGTACAACGCGTACTTCTTTTTTTATTTGATAGAAAACCAATTAGAAATTAAAGAGGCCGTTTAGGACCGGGCATAGGTGTAAGTAGCCAGTTAAATTAAATTATTTAAGTGAATTCATATACCGTATTCTTTCCAACTTATCCTGTGCGCCAGTTACATACTAGTCTTAAAACACAGGTTAATCCCCGTAAGTGGAAGTGTTATCGTCAGTGAATTCACGCTTATAAATTATTTTAATAATGCTACACAGTAGCATCTAATATGATAACCCCATTCCCCCCTTCCCCCCTTATTAAAATTCTTATTGCGAAAAATATTACCCCAGCCATGTATATGAATTCACTTAAATAATTTAATTTAACTGGCTACTTACACCTATGCCCGGTCCTAAACGGCCTCTTTAATTTCTAATTGATTTTATATCTTAAAGGACCTATGTTAAAATTGTAGTATAGAAAACCAAAGTTAAACTGTTTCGTTGTATCAATTCCTCAAGTCACTTTGGTTAATGGAAACTGTCGAGTCATAATTAGAAACTATGAGTTACAATTAGAAACCACAAACTATTCTTCGTATTTCAACATTAATAATTCTATTAAAATTCAATGATTATATAATAACCGTAATTCTCAGAGAAATATATATAATGTAAAATAATATCAAGTGTATCGCACGAGAAGCAAAGTAATCTCGTGTGATACTCGCTGCGCGTGATCGACTACAGATACAATATGCGTAAAACGTACGAGATGAATAAGTGATTCCTTTAACGCGAAGAAAAAAAGGAGACTTCTTCTCTTTCGAGATGCTCGTGAGGATATGTAAGGCGATGACGTTCTCACGATGTCTAAAATATAAATGGAAAGGCAACAGGTGGTCAGTGGCCATTGTGGCTGCGGAGAAAAGCTCGGCATTCGAGCTCCCGGTGATACATTATATTCACGTCATCAATGCAAATGCTCGCCGGGCGTTCCTGAGTTTATATAACGTTTGTTATAACTTGCGTAACGAGACTTCCAGCTCTGGTCACGCGACTTCGCATGACGCACGTCGCGCGCTTTACTCGCGTGTACCTCCTCTCAATCCTCCCCTTTTTCGCGCAGCTTTTCGGTCTTTTTCGTCTCAACGTTTCCCTCTTCGGAAAGCTCAAGCTAATCAATGAAAGAACGTGTATCTACATTGTATAAAAATATTCGTGTAACTCTTCCCGATTAATTCGATACTTTCGTGATTTTCAGTCGGATATAATTTTTATGTTAATATAATATTTACCGATTCCGTTCTGATTTATACATTGACATTAAATCGATACCCGCTATCGTGATAAACGATCCTTTCTCTTGCACGCAAAAGTCTCGTATCGCACAACGGAAATTGTTACGCAACGAATTTCATACGAGCACGTTAAAAATAAATTTCACTAGATGAATAAGCGCGTTTATTTCATGAAAATTCTTGGAATAATCAACCCCTGTATCACATGTAGGAGCTCGTTAATTAACCATTATTAAACCCATAATAGTGCCATTGTTGATTGAATTAAATTGTTCAATAACACGCGCTCTCTATCGCACGAAATTTAAATAAATTAAAAATATAGATATAACGATAAGATATTAATTAAATATCAAAGACACTAAATATATTAAACTGCAGGTGTAAAAAGAATCATTAAATTTAATCAAATAAGTGAAGAGATGAACAAAGAGCTGCGCGTGCGAAGCTTCCAAGACTATCGATTACTTCCGACCGATCTGCACTGTAAAAAAATTACATATAAAATTATAATTATTATAGCGGGCAAGATTATTATCTTATGTTATATAATAAGTAAACTGCTTGATTTCAACTGTGTAAATTTTACCACTTTTTATAATTTTTCATCATGCATAAAGAAGTATTTGCACAACAAAGAGTAAACAAAAAATTTTTTAAGTATATAAATTTATATATTTCCGTTATTAATAGTGTAATCGCTACACTTATGTATGTAATTTTACATACTTTTTTTACAGTGTGTGGGTATCTATCATGGAAATGTTTGAAATTTATTCGAATCGGAATCGTCCAATTATTTCGTAGATTTTTATTGTGTGTTCTAGGGGAAACGGAATCATTCCAATCGAGATCCATTCCGAGCATTTCCATGATAGGTAACCTGATTCTGCACGTACAGTGCTATTCATTGCCTGGACTCAGTTTTACTAAGTTTCACATTTTCATAATCTTTATTCCCATCTATACGTCGATGAGTTTCAGGCTATAGTACTTGTACACCCAGACTTCTATACTGCCGCCCTAAACTAAGGAGCAGTATCTCCATTTTTTTGTCATTGTAGTTAACTCACTTTCTATGTTTCTTAGAGAAATACTGTTAATAACAGGTGGACATACTACAACGTGTATAAGTTATTTCATGTTAATCCAGTGTTCTTACTGCTCTCTAGCTTTGTAGGACAACGGATATTTCTCTAAGAAACGTAGAAAGTGAGTTAACTACAATGGCCAAAAAATGGAGATACTGCTTTTTAGCTTAGGCAGTATAGGAGTCTATGGTAGTACAGCGTAAACAGCCTGAAACTCAGTGATTTGCACAAATGGAAAAACTGATGATAAAAATGCAGGTTCAGGCATTAATGAATAGCACTGTACTAAAAATGGCACAGGCAACAAAATAAAAAAAAAAGCACTGTAAGGAAAAGCCCGATCTGTGGTGCGACTGTTATTGCGTTGACAACTAGAGCGTATATCGATAATCAGTCGACTGTCTTCACCCTGCGGTAATTCTCGACAAAAGGCTCGAGGCCGTTATTCATCAGCGAAGCGCATACGCTGGCTGGCGCAATTGCTTGTAATTTAACGAGGACACGGTCCGAGTTGGACCGGTAACGCGATATATCCGCCTGACAGATTTCCACGGGACGTCACCTTGTGATACATCGTGTCCCGTTCCTATTAGATCGATCGAGACGTCGCTTCGGTGATTTCAAAGACAATCCCGACGAGCGTTTTCAGCGTGCGCACGCAGTCCGCCCTGACATCCTCGCCTCGTAATGCATGTGCCGGCGCGTCGGGGTGTGTACTGTGCGCGTTAAATGCTCGCCTCTGAAATGAAAGAGGGGGCGATTTTGCGCGACGCCAATCGACGCTGTCAGAAACACTCGCCCGTGTCGCTGCGCCGAATTTTGCTTTCATTATTTTTGCTTCCCCTCCCTCCTCCCTCCCTCCCCCCCCCCTCTCCGTCACGTCGTTTCGAGCCCGAATGGGTGTTGGCGCGGCAAACAAAATCACGCGAAAGTGAACAGCTTTTAGAGAAAATCCATCACCTTTTATCCGCGCCCTCTCGCGGACCTTCGTCTAAATGTGCAACACGAGCAACGCATAACTTCCGTTAATCTTGCGGACTATGCCGCGCGAGCGAGAGCGAGCGGGGAGGACGAAGACGGAACAAAGACGAGCGCTCGCGCGTTTCGAGACACGCGTATCTGGAAACTGGGATACAGAGCGAGCGGTTATAACGAGCTCCAGTCGATAATGCGCAGGTACAAGGTCGGAGACTCGGAAGGTTACTGCGTAACCTCTCGAGCGGGAGCGCGGTTGAAAATCACCGGGGTCTCCCTTTGACTTTTTAATCCGCGGTTTCACCGTCGGCAACGCGTGCGGCGGACACGCCGGCGTATTTGGTATCCGCGAACGCTGAAGGGCTCGCGCTGTACACGGCCACCTCGATTATTAAAAGTTCCGTTTGCGGTCGGAGCTCGCGAACGGGGTCAAACGCGCGTATAACCGCGAGCGTCGCGAGAAAATCAGCGACGAGCTCGCAGTATACAAAGTCATAAAAGTTTTGCCGGAGTGGATGTAACTTTCCGTGTTACTGTAACTACAACTAATATCGGGAGTTTTGCGATACACCCCCTTCCTTCTTGCCTTTCAGCCACACGCGTCTGCGTTGGCTCTTTAAAGCTCCGCGAAGCAGCGGAATTGCGAAACGGTACAATATCTTTATTTTGCTTAAACGCCATTCGTTTTCGATATTGTGATATTGAATTTGTCTAAAATCTGTTAACTTGCCAAATTATTACAACTTAATTCTCGGTCTTTTTAAAGAAAATGTATTTACAAGAAACGTTTCGAAATTGCTTGTTAGGCCACTCCGAAGGGAAAACCGCTGAGGGCATTGTGGTGTACAGATTTGCGGCATTGCTGGGCATTAGTTTGGGCATTAGGCCTTGCTGGGACCTTATATAAAGATATAATAAGATAAAATAAGATAAAGTAAGACAAAATAAGATAAAACAAGTTAATAAGATAAAGTAACTTAGGTACTGCTATTCGAACGACATCGATGTCCGTACCGTTTCTGAAGTTATGTCTACCGCGCCACCAACTGCTCTACTTCGTTTTACAGTCAGCGGATGGCGCTTTAAAACTACCGTGCGATAGGAACAAAATTTAAAGCTGAATAGGTGCTATAACTGATTAAATGTAGGGGCCGAGAATGAAGTTGTAAACCTAATATTTAGCAAATGACGGCGCAAGTTACTTAAGCGAGGAATGCATTTAAGTTGTGAATATTCTTTGCTGCCTCGAGCAAAATAATCGAAAGCTATATAATGTATCAAAGAAGCTTTACCTCTTTCTCGCGTATAAATCTTTTCATTCTTTCCTCGGTTGCAATTTTGCCATATCCAAAAGAATCGGGCGAGCGCCAAACTGGAGTTAGTCGCAAGAACGAACGCACTTAAACGAGTCGTTGAAAGCAGTCACGATCAAAAGT